GCTACAACTCATCACCGTGGCAACAGACTCCTCCCTCATTCTATCGTCCCCAGCAGACCCCCTCCCTTGAACTCTATGGTAATGCTATTTTATTAAACAAAGCAGGAGGAGGAGGGGGAGGAGGAGGAGGAGGGAGCAGGAAACCATCAGCTAGGAGGAGACCAATGGGACAGGCTTATAATAACTACAGGTATATTTCATTATACATATACATGTACACATAGGGGTAGGAACAGGGGGGGCAGGAGGGGCTTAAGCCCCCCCAACTTTCATTGAAGGGGGGCTTATAGCCCCTCCAACTTTAAGTGATATACATGTATTACTATTATCAACACTATAGACTTTAGTTTAGGTAATCCTTATATGTGTGCATATTGTGTGATGATTCGTTTCATAAAACAATTAATACACTAGCTTAACTTCTAAGAACACACTTTTATTAGTTTTTTCAGAAATACACAAGCTTCTACTTCTTTATTTAACAACTCTGTTAACATCAGCTTCATCTGAGCATAAATTTTCGACGTTAAGGAGATTAAAAACTATTTGTGCTCCACAATGTCACAAGAGCATCTTAATCATGTAGTTATTTTGCATACACACAAAGAATTTACAGATGATTTACACATCGAGGACATTGCAAAGGAATTTGTTACATTTAATGAGCATAGACACCAATATTTTGGACAGTATTAATTTCAGTACATGCTATGTATTAATGATCAATTGTAAAAATAATACCTTAGCCCCCCCAACTTTTAGTTTGTTCCTACCCATATGCATGTACATGTATGTACTACATGAATGTATTGTACATGTAATCTGTGCTGGACAATTTTAAATAAAAGCTGGGTGCAAATAAACACTGGGGTAGCACTAAAATGGAGCTATAAAGCAAATCTAGCCTTAAAATAGCATACATCTAGATGCCTTCTAGATACCTTGTAGATACTTCCCACTTCTGCATGAGGTCCCTGGTTTGAATCCCATGCCTCAAGTTTTATTTTATTTTTTAAAGGTCCAAATGTCATTTTAAAAAATAGACGTCTAGGCTTTTATTTGAGAAAATACGGCACATGTAATTGTAATGTACTCAATGTATGAATGTACTTACTGATTGTTTATATTAGGTATACAGTGTCTCATCCAGGACTATCAGTTCAAGGACT